TTTTCGGTTCTTGTGGTTTTCGGTCCATATGGTTTTTGGTCCATATGGTTTTCGGTCCAAAGAGGTTTTCGGTCTAAATGGTTGGCCGAAAACTCCTGATCTTTGGTGCATAAGGTGATTTTCAAGGACTTTCAAGTATGTATAGGGGTTCTAAGTTTCATCCAAAGCCTTATGTGCGTTTAAGGTCTTAAAGGCATCTTTCTTTAGGGTTTTCGGTCAAGGGAGATGCACTTGACCGAAAACACCTATTGTTCTTGAGAAATGGATGTTTTCAAGGCCCTAAATTATATATCCTTACTAGATAACAAGTATAGGAGGTAGATACTTACAATATGGAAGCAAAGAAGGGTGTTTTCGGCCCAAAACACTAGTGTGTGTTCTTGGTGTTCTTGGTGAAATGAAGAACACTTGAAGATCTAAGAAAATGGAATGATTTCATGGATGAAATCATGTAAGATCACTAGATAATGGAAGAGATCAACTAAACAAGGAAGGACACACTTACAATCTTGAAGATCTTGACAAAAATTCGGATGATACTTGAGAGAGAATTGTTCTTGACTTGGAAATGGGAAAAAAAATGACAAAAATGACTAAGTGTCATTTATATACCCTTTAGGGTTTTCGGCCCTAACACTATTTTGGGCCAAAAACTCCAAACTGCTTGGAGTTTTGACTTAAATGTTGCACAATTAATCCTAAGTATATCCTCTAATCTCTATAATATATCTACTTATACAACAAGACTCCAAAAACTAAAAACTAAATAAAATACTAGACTAATGACTAAATTGCATCTGATTGAAGTGAATGGTTGTACAAGATAGAAATTTCGGGTTGTCACAATATACTCGAGGTTGAATCTCTCGAACATCTTGAGTTTGGTGATGAAAAAGATGAAGACCTGGTTGAAAATGGTGTTTTAGGACTTCAAGCTATCAGGGAACAACCTGTGAAGGTCGTTTCGGATGCAGATAATCTCAAATGGTCCTCGTTTACGTGGCCATCATCGTTAGCAGAAACGTTCAGATAAAGCCGCGATATGGCAAAAATCAAAAAAAAGCTAACCATCGACGCATTCTGAGCTACACAATCTATTCTTCCACCAATCCCTTCTCTGAGGATCATTTAGATCGATGAAGGTTCACCAACCTGGAAACCTAATGATCTCCCTGAAGAGCCTCTAGTCCCTCTTCCACTATAATTCATCATCACCGAAACCGGTCAACAAATCATCTCTGACTTGAATGAGCCTCCACAAAACAAAGGAAAGAAGATTGCTACTGAATCGGACAGCCCAGTGAAAACGTAAAAAATGTCTTAGGGCTGGTCTCAAGAACAAATAAATCAAGCTTTGGAAGAAAGCGTCAATATTCAAGCACTGAAATACAATCTAAATCCAATGCTAGACATATCTCCTCTTTTTTGAGAAGGATTTATTCACTATATTCACTTTCTTCCCTTCATGCATTATGATCTGCCAACTTAGGATGCCGATTAACTTGACTCCTCACAGTCAATTCTACATCAAGTACGCTCCTCTTCATCCGAATGATGATCCTCAAATAATCATCAGGACAAAGTGTGAGAGATTGAGAACCTTCTACTCCTTTAACGTGCATCCTCAAAAAGAAGTGTGGTCTCGGAAGAAGATTACCAAGATCATTGGATACGGTAACAAGGTTCAGAGCATGTTCCATCTCAACTGTATGTTGTACAGATATTATGTCTCTAGGAACAAAGAAGCAACTATCACCGTCACGGATGCCGACTTTCCCTCAATCAACCCCAATGACATTCTCACCATTGCTGCTAACTTCTCAAATCGCCAAACAGGTCGAGTGAATTTGTTGAATCAATTTCTTGAAGGACTACGTTGCTACATTCTGCAGGTCCGAAATTGAATTTGCTCACTTGTTCAAAACCGATAACGTTTCGGAAAAAATCACTTACGAACTACCTGAACCTCATATCTTAGCAGAAGGCCATATTGAAAAAGTGGAACTCAGCTATGTATATCTCAAAAAGAAGACTAACCGAAAATAATTCTTTAAAGTTCTTCATAAACATTTAGTGTCGACAAAGATCCTTTAGAAGTTCATCTCCAACACTGAAAAAAGTGATTCTCCGGAGCATGTAAAGGAGAAGTTCATCGAACACCTCAAATGGTATTTAGAAGTCTGAAGCTAGCTTCACAGTGCCTATCTCTTTGTCTTTGAGGAAGCCCAGTGAGTTGATTGATTGCTAAGTTTACTTAGGGGATACTGTTGCTACATAAAGTGAACCTCTATAAATCCCAAGCCAAACCAAAAGCAAAGTCAAGTGCAATCCAAGATGTGAAGAGTTCCAAAGCCACTCTTCTTCCGAGATGAAGACTTATCCGAGAGATTCATAGTTTTTAATGTTATAGAGTTCGTATAAGCATTAAATGCTCCTTGTCGTTTTTATTGATTGAACAGTTCATAAGACAAAATCAAGTAAATCGTGTGTGTCATCTTTTCTGACATATCAGATTTACATTCTCCATGCAAGTTTTGTGTTTTGTCTTATTGTCTCTCCTTTCCTATTTAAAGAGATGATTTTTCCATGCATTGTAACCTTGAAGTAGAAATATTCTCTTCATATCAAATACAAAATATCTTGCACGTCAAATCTATTTCTCCATTATTCTTGTTATTCTTAACTTATCTTTACTTTGCTCATATTCACTTTACTTTACTTAAATATTTTGTTGAATACTTTCTTGATCTTCATACTCTCAGACAAGACTGGTTTACTAGACTTGCCTGGACCAAAATATTAGCAGCAGACATTGATCTAAAGTTAATTCAAGGTTTGAGTTTTCAAACCTTGTCCGCACACTAAGTCTTGCACTTTCAGCTTTTGGTTCTTTGAAGTTGAAGAAGGCACTTGTGGTGCTTCATTTTGGTAATCTACCTTCTACCTTTTGGTCTTGCTGAGCTTTTTGGCATTTATAAGTCATAAAGCTCTTACCGTTTTGCCTCATGCATGCTAGATCTAAGCTTTAGAGCCTTTTTTCATTGTTGTTTGTTTGTAACATGCTTGGGATTCATAAAGTTTGCAACATTATGGATCATTGAGACATCTTCTTCATGTGTGTCCTTGGATCTGAGTTTTGGTGTTAGTTTTGGACTCCAAGCATGAGTCTTATCTTATTACCTTTCTTTTAACCTAGTTTGTGTCTAAGTCATGCATTGGACATGCATAACTGAAAGCTAGGATTTTATGGTCCTTAGGATCAAGGAAGGTGCAGTGGAAAGTACCAATGTATGTCTTAAAAGATTAAGAGCTTAATGCTCAAAGTTGATCAGAAACCGATCTCACGACGTAGGGAATGGAACCTCACGACATGAGCAAGGTGGTTGTTGCGATTGGAGGATTTGTTGGATGGGTGAAACTGAGTCGACTCGTTGAGTTGGACCGGATCAAGTCCATTCTCACACGTGAGCCTTAGTGGTCACGACGTGAGGGTGGGCTGAGGGGAAGGTTGACTTTTGACCCTAGACGTTGACTTTTGATCAGAGTTGACTTTTGGTCAACTCTTGGTTTTGAAGGGGTAAACCTAAGGTTTGCCTTGCATGATTATCTAGGTGTGAAGTAGCACCAGTGTAGCTGACCGTGCTAACAACAGTAGTTGATTATCAATCGAGATGTGGGTTTCCTTCATTGTACTCATGGGTCGAAGGAACCAAGGCCGACCCACTAGATTATCTTTGTAGGATGGTAATTACCTTCGTGAAAATTACACGTTATGTCTGCATATGATTGATGTCTCTGTGACTTGTGCTGATATGTATGCATGCTAGCTGTAAGGGTGAAATAGACCCGATACTAGTTGAAAGATATCGAAGGGCTTGAAACATACCCAATACTGGTTGAAAGAGACCGAAGAGGTTGAATTAGACCCAGTCACTACTACAAAAAATGGTCTTTTACGACACACAATACGGGTCGCAAAACGCTCAGACGAATCACAAATCTGTGTCAAGGAAGGCCCTGTAATTAAAAAAGACGACACGCTTTTGCGCGTCGTCTATTTACGACGCGCAGTTATGACACCCATTTACGACGTTCCTTTATGACACACAATGCGTATCTGGAAGCCCCTGTCATAAAGGAAGACGACAAGCACTTGCATGTTGTAACCTTACGACGCGCGCGTTTATGACACACAATGCGTATCATTAAAGCCCCTGTCATCAAGAAAGACGACACCCATTTTTGCGTGTCATAATTTTAAATGTTTTTGAAATTATATATTTTTGATAGATTTACTAATTTTCAAATTAAATAACACATTAAAAGTCTCATAATACAAAAATAAAATACCATAAACAAGAAAGATTATTCGTTGCACTAATATGTCAAATATAAATAATCATTTCAATAGTAAGTAAATGTAACACATTGCGAATATTGCATAATATTTATTAGGGAAAAACAAAACATGTACAACATTAAAAGAAACCCATGAGTAAGTTCTCCTTTGACAATCTCCATGGTAGCTTTAAGCCTTGCAACTTCACCACTTAAAGATGCATCAACTCATCTAGTGTCGACTCTTTTTCTACAAGTTTCCTGCGCTTGGAGATATAAAAAGAGTTATCTTGTTAACAAAAAGTAAATTCTGTTTTTTTCAACTAAAATCAATTAAGTACGTTGTTATTCCTTGCAATTTAACCAAAAAGACCTAAATGCATGAAATAGCAACATATTTTGCAAGAAATAGAAAAGTACATTGCTACTTCGTACACTTACCCAATGTCTCCAATATCAAAAGTGTTTGAAATTATTGTTTCTATGGTTGATGATCGTATCAAAGTTGTAAATTTACTTAATAAAAATGCTACACCCCAGGAGCCTAAAGTTATAGTTTGAGTGTTTTGTAGCTAACATAAAATGTATGATCATTTTCCAGGGGAAGTAGTACCACATGCAAATGCAACTGAACCATTGGAAAGAAACTTGCAGGAAACTTATCATGCTGAAGTTGGTCCAAGTAATACAGTAGTCCAGGTGGCATCTAGCATCCTACCAAACAGATAGGTGGACAATTTAATAATTAAAAGAGATGTTCAGGTTTATAATACCAATAGCTACACATCAAACTTCCACCTTGTATAAATTTTTATAACAAGAAACAGAAATAATGGAAAACTTATATAAATTTTTCTTACCCTACGGTATTGTAAACGGTGTTGCGGTGTTCTTGTTGAGCAGCCTGTTCTTGAAGGTTCTTGTTGTGTTTCCATGCCCATCTCAGTAGTTGCTGAACAATATTTCTTATTTCTTCAAGTTTAGCTTCACTCCCAAAGGTACTCAGTTGTGGATTCTCAAATATGCACTTCTGAAGAAGAAAATAAGTCGCAAATTCATTTAGCGTAAGAAGGGTAATATGGTCCAAGAACTCAACACTTTGATCATAGGATGCATGCATGCCCATGTTCAATGCCATTTCCCTAACCACAGTGGGACCCGCACCTTTCCAGAGAGCTAAAACTCCTTCATTTGTAGTGATTCTGTAGAGGACATGGAATACCTTGTGAATTTTTTCATAACAGCCTATAATAGTAAATATAAATATATATATATATATATATATACATATCATTACAGGATATTTAGAAGAAAATTTGGGCAATCTTAGATTTGACCTCGAAAGGACCATTATCTGTTCTAAAACTGATTCCTAGAACATATTTCAACCAAATAGGAAAACCCCTGAAATCGAAATGACAGAGAAGTGTAACTTATTTGTGAAATTGTTAAAAATTACAAGTAAAGATTTTACTATTTCTATAAAATAAAATAAAAGTTAATTACCTAAAATTCCATTCAGCACAAGCATAAGGACCAACTCTGAGATGAGCATAGAGTCCAGCTTTCTTAATCAGCTTAATGAACTTCACCAAATCATACCTATCTTCGAAATAATACTGGGAAAGATAAAATAAATCTTGAAATTAAGAAAATTATTTATTAAATTAAAATAAAATATTATTTTATTTCAAGAAATACTTACTTGACAAGGTTGTGGTTCATGTCCATTCCAGAAAACATAAGTTTGAATCACATCTAACCCTCCTTCTTTTTCCTTCTGTATAAGATCTGGCCACATCTAAAACATCAAAGTATATAACAAAAAGTTTCAGAAACAAGGTAAATAATAAATCCCAAAATATGATTCTAGATAAAAAGATGACATTACAAAAAGGGGAAATTAAGAAACTCAGGAAACACATGAAGTGCATTGATAAGTAATATTTTCGTGAGTATAAAAAGTCAAAGACCATAATCAATGTCAATCATGAAAATAAAAGTTACAAAAAAGTTAAAGACCATAACCAATGTCAATCATTCAAATAAAAATAACAAAAAATTATACGTAGAATATAATCCATGTAATTTAAAAATAAATCGACTTATGATCCAATGGCGAGCAGATAACGGATTACAATCCCGCATTTCTTGTGATTCGGATTTAAGTGTAACATCCCGAGATTTGGCAGGTATTTTTGAATCCTCTCTTCTATTATTTAATTGTCATTTGTAGTCCCTGGAGTTGGAAGAGTCGAGCCATGTGAAGCCTAAGGGATAAAGTTGCAACTTTGGGATCAGGAAAATTACGCTAAGCGTACATAAGGTACGTTGAGTGTACTAAGCGCGCCCTAGTACGTTGGGCGTACACTTGTGTACGCTAAGCGTAGTCACGTTAGATGGAAACCCTAATGTTTAGGGTTTGGGTGCAATATAAACGACCTTATGAGCTCAAAACCCTCCATAACTTTGAGCTGTGTTTTCCCAAACCCTACCCCTTTTCTTGAGTGTGTGAGCTAAAAGTGTGTGTTTGAGTAGTTGGAGAAGAAGGTGTTGCATCAAGAAGTTAGAGAAGGAAGACAAGATTGTAGATCTGAGGTTTCTTTGTGCTCTAGAAGCTCGAGGAGGTAAAAAGCTCCAACCTTTAAGCTTGTATGATGTAATTCTTGCCATGCTAGCTTTATGAAACCATTTCTTGTCCTAAAAGTCCCAAGTTGGTGCATGTTATGATTTGAACGAGATAAGCTATTGTTTCAGACCTTAGAAGGGGTCCTAAGTGATAAAAATGATGTCCCAATGGTTGAAAGTGTCCCATGCATGTAGTAGAAAGGTCTTAATGGGTTAAGACCATGTATTAGGAACTTTCTGGATGTCCAAAGTCTTAAAGTTCAAGACTTTATGGTTCGAAGGCACATTTGGTCGATGGATCTGAGTTTGGACTTAAGTGCTTAAGCGATTAAGAACTTATTAGGGGTATTGGTGAAACCTTGCATACGTCCCACGTAATCTCTGTACACCCAGCGTACTGATTCAACCACCCCGATGGTGGTCAACGTAAAACAGAAGTACGCCCAGAGTACTAGATGAGTACGTCCCGCGTACGCCTTCTGTTGGGCTTTTGATGATTTGGGATTCGGGGTGGGGAACTTTTGGGCCAAGTTTGATATAGGCCTTGCTGGACTTTCTGAATAATTGTGTTTTGGGCCAGTTTTGGATTTGGATCTTAAATAAGGCCCAATTAGGGAGTTGGGTCCAATTAGGAAAAATGGGTCATTAATGGGCTTTAGATATTTGGACTTTTAGATCATGGATTTGGTAGTGGGCCTTGGCCCAAATTACAGAAAAGGAAATAATGGAAAATTAACCTATGTGGGACCCTTGGTCAAGATTGATATACAAATTGTTGAATTAGTATTCGTTATATTTTGGATAGTTCGGGATTTTCGGTGAGACAGCGGTCGGAGACTTTCAGTCCATTTCAACAGTACTTGTGAGGTGAGTTCTTCTCACTATATCAACAGGGTCTAAGGCACCAAGGCCGACCCTTTATGATTTGTATCCTGGTGATATGATGTTTGCTATGTTAGTGATCTGTTAGATCGGTATCCTGGTTATAGGATGGTTGCAATGTTAGTGATCGATTAGATCGGTATCCTGGTTATAGGATGGTTGCCATGTTAGTGATTTGTTAGATCTGTATGACTATCTGTACTTACTAGCTAGCATATGATATTTATGTGCACATGATTGTTGGTTTCGGGGATTAGGTCCTGCTTTGTGCTATAGGCCAAGATACCCAGGGTGGATCGGATAGACTTCAGACCCAATTATGGCATACTAGTCAGGTCGAAGTCCTGGCGAGCGGTCCGGATAGGATGAAGGCCCTGAGAGGCGTTCCAGACATACCGATCGCTGGGAGAGCGATCCAGATACAATGATGGAATGTTAAACGGTCCAGTCAGACTGATGGCTCATTATGAATGTTGTGTTGTTTATGATATGGTTACATCTGTATGACATTGGCATTTTGGAGGAACTCACTAAGCTTCAGGCTTACAGTTGTTGATTTTGTTTCAGGTATTTCTGATGATCGCGGGAAGGTGAAGGCGTGATCGTACACCTCCTTATGTTTCATGATCTGATTCTGGATACTCTGACACTAAACTATTTTGAAAACAAGTTTTGTAATAATCATTGGTTGTTAAATGTTTTAAAAAGTTTAAATTTGGCTTGATTTTTTTACGGATGTAACATTAAGCAGTGTTTCTTATGTGTCGAAATGTTATTGTGAAATTTTTTTTCCTGGTTCTTCAACTTTAACATCAACTTCAACAACCTATAAATAGAAAAAACACAAGAGGCCCTTGTATATCATATATCATATATATAAACAATGTAATTTTTCATACCACATA